TTGCCCCCTATCCCTGGAATTTACCAAAAGGGAGAGGGCATTGTGTTCTGCACAATGCAGAGGAAGTGTGACTTGGCAGCACGCCCATGCTTGGCCTATGGCAATTGTGCATAGGCATATGGCCCAGTTAAAGCTTTATGAGCTAGTTAAGGCACTCAATTAGAATTAAACCTAGTTAAAAGTTCATTCATGTGTGCAAAGCTGTGAGTGGAAACTTGATCCACCTGCCCCACCCCCATACTGTCCTGCCTAGCAATGGCAGCTCATAACTCATCTTCTCACACTGCCCAGACATCCTGCACAAACTGGGGTACTTCAGTGGCCTGCCTGCCCCCCTTGTCTACAGATATCAGTTATCCCCAGTTGAATTCCATGCTCCAGTCTCATCTAGGGGCAAGCTTGGTGGAGCTCTGACCCACATGATTGTTGCCTAACCCCTGAGGCAGCTTTTTGGGGAACCAACACACAGAAACACACAATCAAAGGCTTTTATGTAGGTGTATCTGAGCATGAGCAGAAAGATGACTGAGGGGAGAAAGCCCGAAAAGGATGGGAGGTGTAGAATAGACTGTAGCCTCATGCCACCCCAAAACCTCAGCCCAACAGGCATTGTTGGTATGGCTAGTGGCAATCCCATATGCTTCCCTGTGGGGGCCAAGCTCAGACAAGTCCCAGTGACAGGGAATGCTGTCATTATTCAGGTCCTGGCAAGGTAGTTGCTTTCATCAGCCCCAGGACACCATGCACAGCTGTTTCACATGGCAGTGAATGCTGTCATCTTTTGGGATTCCAGACCCTCTCATAGCTCAGGGTCACAGGAGCATCTGGGCAGAGCACAGAACGGGACATCACTCTTCAGTAGAGAGTTAGGGGTGGAGGACAGGGTAATCCTAGTTCGTGACAAGATTGATTGCTACTTTCACTGCTAAGAGGTCTGGCAGAACCATGAAGCTGTAACACAGGCATAGGAAGGTTTTCAAAGTCTCATAGAATCACCACCTTTCCCAGAAAGCCATCACAGTGAGCTGTTCCCTTCCATTTCTCTAGGACAAGTGCTGGCTTGAGAGCTTGAAGAAGCAGCAGGACATATCTTGCAGGATCGTCACCTGGGATACTCTTGCCAGGGAGATATTGGCCAGAGAAGCAGTGTCCTGAGACAGGGATAGACAAGTTAGCATGGGCAGTGTACCTTCATAATGGCCAATCTCCATCCATCTGTGGGAACATCCAGGGAGGCAAGGGTAGGGGAGAAAGTGGATAGCTGAAAGTGTGCTTACCATCATGTGGTTCTGCTCTCATCGTGCTTGCCTATGGAAATGAGCAGGGAGAGCAAGGTGTGCCAGCTCTTCCTCAGAATATTTTAGAAGTTGGTAACTGTTTAAAGGTCTTCTCAGCTGTCAGTGCACTGCTGTCTGTGCACCTGTCATAGTATGTGTAGGAATTCAAAAATTGGCACAAATTATCAGTTATCTATGGAAACACACTCAAGGTCATTTTGACTTTATTCATTTCTCAGAGTTTTCTGTGGCCTGGAAATGCACAAGAGGTTCCAGCATGGATGCTACTCCAAGGACACAAAGGGACATTACCGCTCACAGGATGTCCTATAACTGAAAACATCAATGACACCAGAGAGATCAGATGCTGGAGGAGTATGTGGAGTCCTCCACACACCAAGATGATACTATTGACAGTTGGCTTGCTGCCTCCAAGTGCCAGCAGGATTAAACAGAGGGACTACTAAGAACTTTTCAGGAGACTTTTGTGGCTCAGGACTACCAATTCCTTGAACTTCTGCAGGGAGTGGTGAAGGCCTCAGAGAGGGTCTAGAAATTCACCTTCCAAGCCCGTGCATCTCTCTGGTCCATGTCCATCACAGAGTTGTAACAGTCCTTCCTGGATAGTGTGGCTGCCATTGCAGAGTTCACATACTCTCCCTCACCCAACAAGAGGCAATGGAACCAGCCTCACACAAGCTTGGGCTACCATTGAGACTGGGTGCCTCCCAGTCCTCCACCCTTCCTTGACTACAGACAGAGCAACTGAAGAACCAAAACTCCAGCTCCTGAAGTATGGCACTGCACACTTTGTGTAAGGCTGTCATCACCATTGCCCACCCCGTGCCAAACTCATTGGTGACAGAACAGAGGATGTCAGTGTTTGCCAACTTCCAAGTCACCAGGGCCATGTGTCTTTCAATGGCCATGGGGCACCAAAGCCCATGATGTGCCATGGGACATCCTAAAGTTTTACTGCCACTACTTGTCATCCAAGGGTCCAAGCACAAGCTGCTTCCACCAGTCCAAGCTCACCAGTTGTGCCCATCAATGACAAAGTGGCATCTGATACTGGGCCTGCAGTGCCACAGCTGCTTGTGTAGCAGTATGCTGTGCCTCCTGCAAGTGGATGAGCATGATGCCCATGGCAGCATCACAGTCCTGAAAGTAGCACCTGACCAGGGCCAGGTGATCATGCCACCAAACACGGAGTGTTGGTGGATTAAAGATTTGCTCAGTTCCACTAGTTGTCATCTCCAGGAAGCCCCTGGAGAACTGATCCCAACTGGAACAGTGAGTCAAAGAGGCCCTGTGCCAGGCCAAGGAGGGTTTGGAATCCATGTCCTCAGGGAGACAGTTGGCCAATCAGCACTTTCCTCTAAGCTCAGCTGTTTTCAGCTGTTCTCAGGAAACTGGGAAAAAGTGCCTCCAGAGATCACTTCCAGGATGTCTGTTCATCAGCCTTCTAGCAGCGCAGTCCAAGCTGTACATATTAAGGTTCATAGTAAAGATTATTATGCACTTACTCAGAACACTTTCTAACTTTTAATACTACACAACATGCCACAGATTTAATGCATACTAAGTATTAGGGCTGTGCGAAACACCATGATTTCATTGCAACGTCCATTTTACCATTTCACAGGGACAGTGTTTTGTTTCATCATTTCATTTCAAAGCACTGTCCTGTTTCGTTTCATCGAAACCGTTTCACTGTTTCAGCAAGTTTCAATGTTTCTCACATAGGCTATAATGGGGAATCATGAAAATGCCTAAAACTTTGCAATTTCATGCATGATTTGGATGAAAATTGCAGGGATGGTAGCCACTTCTGAGGTCATGAAGTCTACCAAGTTTAAGGGGATAGATGCAGAAGTTTCTGGGAAACTGCACCTCAAACTCTTCAAAGCAAAACTCTTGACACTTGCCAGTAGCAGCAGCCTGCTCTCATCTGACGTGCAGATCCAGGGGCTTGCACCCCTGGGAGAGCTGCCAGGCTGTACCAGACTCCTCCCAGTGGGTGTGAGCCCCTGGATCTGCATGCTGGATGAGAGGAGGCTCAGGCTGCTGCTGCTGCGACCGGGGACAGGCAGCTAGGCTCAGTCCCAGGTGGGAGAAGCAGCCTCCTCTTATCCAGAGTACAGATCCAGCGGTTTGCACCCCCAGGAGGGCTGCCAGGCTGTGCCGAACTCCTCCTGGGGGTGCGAGCCCCCAGATCTGTATGCTGGAGGAGACTCAGGCTGCCTCCTGGGACTCGTGCTGGGTGCAGCCTGCTCGTGCTGGGTACAGCCAGGGAAGATTGTTGCTGCCGCTGGTCCCAGGTGACAGCGGCAGCCTCCTCTCATCTGGCATGCAGATCTGGGGGCTCACACCCCTGTGAGGAGTCCAGCACAGCCCTCCCAGAGGTGCAGGCCCTTGGATCTGCACTCCAGATGAGAGGAGGCTGCCGTTGCCAGCGCTGAAATTAAGTAAACCCGGCTTCAAAATTTGAAATGTTTTGAAACCTTTGAAACATTCCGAATGCCCTTGTTTAGTTTCAAAGGTGTTTTGAAGCCTTTTGTTTTGTTTTGATTTTGCTGTTTCGAGCTCAAAACACATTGGAACAGCTTTGAAATGAAACACCAGAGAAACTTCTCACAGCCCTATTAAGTGTCCCATGAGACAATGTCTGTTGTCTCTGTTGCAAGGACTCTCTAAGCCACCTCCTCTGCCTAACTGGGTATGGGAAGAGCAGGAAAAAGTGGGCAGGGATTTTTTTTCTCAATAGTAGACCCAGGCTCAGAAGCGAGGCCCTATAAAGAATTTTTTGACAATCACTCTCCCTGGCCTCAGAGTGTTTTTGATTATCCCACTCAAATACAGGGTGGCTTGAATGTAAATATTGTTTATTCATTAGAGCTTGCCCTATTCAGATGTGAACAGCTAATCTAGCTGGTTTGTCCAGCCATGCTTCAAGGGTAGCACTGCAGTAGCTTGCCCTTGAGATGAATAAGACATCGATGACTATTGCAAGATCCATATTACAGAAACATGTTCAGACCTTCCTGGCAGCAACAAATGGATGCCTAGGAAGGTCAATGCATTATTATTTTCACTTTGCATGTCCGAAAGAAAGACTAAACACAACTACTGTGGTGCCTGCTTCATCTATTTATGCACAGGAGCCCTGCATGGACAATTTGGAAGGGAAGGTGTGGGAAGCTCCTGCCTCTCCTGCATTTACACTGGCTCACATAGCAGGATGCATGCCCCAAAAGGAGCAGCTGCACTCCCATAAGAGAGCGTGCAGTTTGCAGTTACTTCTCTACCCTGATAGGGTCAAATCCTGAGGAAGCAGAGGAAATCCAGAGGAAGTTTACTTTTAAAGCAGTATATTTTGGGAATTGTTAATTTCTCTTCCCAAAGAACAGAAGGATATTCTTCAGTGTCCAAGAAATACCCTCAGGGGACAAACTATGCTGCAGTCTTTCTAATAGCAGGTAATACAACTATAAAATTTGAAATTTTTCAATCTCATTTTCTACATTTGTTAAATTTTGAACCAGTTATTCCTACTTGAGGACTTGGGTAATTTTTTTAAAAACATCTTTCCTATTGTAACAGAAAAACGGAAAAATACTCAAATAAACATTAATATCAATCAAAATACATTAAAACATTTGAATCATTTTTGAGCCTTTATGAAAAGGAACAATGTGCCTTACATAAAACTTAAGTACTTACGGGGAAAATGCTTAAAAGTGGATGGATTGACACTGTCGCCGCTGTCAGCACATTCACTGCTAGAAACTTCATCATCTGATTCCCACACAGAGGAGCAGGGTGAGTAGCCATCAACTTGTTCAAATTTCCTCTTTAAAATTCCACTCATAGCTGCAACGTTGTCACATGTACCTGTAAAAGGAACAAGAGCAATGAAGCATTGAAATGTTTGACCGCTGACCATGCAGGCAAGGTCTCCAAAGTCATTATTTATGGAGGATTTTATACACAAACTTGGCTGCTATCTCTGGTCAAATGACTGCTTACTGGGACTTTCAAACAATTGACCAGGAAATATTTAAAAAATTATAATAATTTCAGTGTATTAACTTTCTTATTTACATAATGACACACGATTGTATCATCTCCTAAAGAAAGGAGTTTAAACTCCAAATATATTCTATCGGCAGAGCCAAAGGCCTATAATTAGCCAGTTACACAGAAAAAAGATACAGTGACATTCTTAAAATATAATGGGACCAATTCAGAGCTGGTGTAAAGCAGATATATTATAAGACAGTGGAATTTTACACTTTGACATTATGTTTGAATTCACATGATACTTAGAAATACTGAATCATGATATTGAGACTTTTACTCCAAATTAGGCAAGAATTCTTATTAAGAAATGCAGGTTCAGAAAGAAATAGGTTTAAAACCTGATCTGTACTCTCAAGTTGCTGATGTCTTCAATAAGATTTGAAGGCATTGAGCAAATCACAGAAGGCACAGAATACTTCACCAGATTGAGTCTTCACGTGTGGAATACTGGCTCATGTTTGCATTTTAATTTTTAAAGCAGCTTTTCGCTGTGGAACCTTAGTGCAACTCATTAAGGGAAACTATGGGCACATGTCCAAGATAATTTTAGACTAGTAAAGTACTCAAGAAATGAACCTACCCATAAGAATTAGGTTTTTTACTTGCATTGCCCTGTAAGCCCAACATTGAAAACATCCTTATCATCATGTTTGATCTTTACCAAATCAAAAAAAAAAAAATTAAAAATCACACAGGTGATTTTTATGCCCATTTGCATAGGATTCCATATGAAACATTAAAAAAGGGAGACTGAAAATATTTCATTTAACAGAATTGTATGACTGTTTTCAATATTTTAAAGGGAAAAAATAATATATTTTCTATTCCTTTAATTTAAAATACACTTTCAGTGGAATTCTGCCTTATTGAAAATCAGTACCTGATCATCTTATAACATGGACTAAAATTGACTCCCAAGAAATTTAATTGCAATGTTGCAGGCATCTTTACTGTCCTACTAAACTGAACAGTGGATAATGGGTACATCTACACATGCCCCTACAGTGCTGTTGTTACTGCGCTGTGCCAGCAGCACACAATTACTTTTAGCTGCCACATCGCTGTGGCGACATGCTATAGCAATGGAGCAAGTCATTACAGAGACATAGCTGTGATGTCGCAGTTTGTGCCTGCTATGTTGCAACGTTTTTATAGCAAGTTGCTACGCCATAGCACGTTGCTATGGCAATGTAGCATCTCGTGTAATTGTGCCTAATCAGTTTTAAGTAACAGATAGAAAACAACTTCTTTAACATGTTCAAATATACAGCAGGAAATAAATTCCTCACTTTTCTGAGTGCCATTTATAAATATCTTGTGAGAGTTGTCAATTTCAGCTATTTTATAATACAGCTGTTTTCACACAGTAAAATTTATTCTGCTTTTGCAAGAATTTTAACCTGTATGGATTTGTCTAATTTGGGAAATTCTTTTTAGCAGAGATCTGGAATCAGTATGATATAATGCTAAAAGCAGAGATTACCCAATTTCCACAATGGACCTTACACATCACTGGAAGTTTTAATATTATGAACCATACACAGAAATGAATGTGCATCTGTTTTGTCATGGAGGATGCTCGGCTTCTTGGCTGTTTGTGAGAGGTTTGCTTTCCTAAAAAATGATTCCTCGTGGCAGGACACATGACCCAAATATGCCATACCCTGGTTGAAAACCCAGATTTAATCTCCTGTTTTTCTAGTCCCAAAGCCTGCCAGCAGAGACTGAAATGAAAGCATTACTTGCTTATTGTGGGGGATGGTGTATGGAGTACCTTGCATCAGTTTACAGTGACCTCTGCAGAAAATTTAAGAACAACACAGAGAGTGGGGAAGCTTCACTTGTTAAAACAGCCAGAAGTATAAAACAGATTAAAATGGGGATAGATATGGGGGTAGTTTGGGTCTTAAGAGGCATGTATAGGACCTACTTCTTTTTTTTACTTCCTTCTAGCTCCCCAATGTCTCCCTTGCAAACCATCTTTTCTCACTGCCTCCTGCAGTGCTTGTAGCACTGAATTTGTGAAATCGCAATTATTTCCATGGCAACAGACTGCAATATCAAAACCAAAGGATTATAGCTTGACTGCAGGAGAGGGTAAAAAGGAGCAGCAGGAGTGTGAGGAAAAAAATGCTTTTATTTGAACATCTCCAGAAACAGATTGGTGAATGCTGAGAAGAGCTGCTAAAGAGTAAGGGATTTCCTGCATAACCTAGACTTGGGTCAAGCTAATACCCCAGATCTAAATACACTCAAATTTGGGAGGTAGAAAAATTTAAAACAAAAGCCCAAATGGCCTCTGTGAGAATAAGTTAGATCCAAACTAGAGTTCTTACTACCCTGAAGCTGTAGGGTGTTAGAAAATGGGATCTATATTTGCATAGCCTGGAGCTATCACTAACTAAATACCTGTTCATAAGACATGTTCTTCTGTGACTATACAGGGTGGTGGCTAGCTGACTTACACACATACACCAATGGGGCTGTTTCAAGTTCTTAGCAATCTGAGCTGTCTTTAGAGTATTTTAAAATTTTCTTGCAGATACGATTACTTACATTTGGGCTGGATATCTCTACTGCCCCTGCATGGAGGGAAGGAATACAGCCATTTCTGCTTAAAATTCAAATCAGTGTCACTGGCTGAGGTTCTGGAGGAGCTTTGATTGGTGACATCAGAGTCAGATCCAGCTCCCCCCTGTCTGGCAAAGGCCAGCAAGGGGTTGTTGCTGCCAAATTTAAGTAGATTGTCAACATCTTCCTTAAACAATGCAAGATGTCAGGTTTGGGGGTTTTGTTTTTTAAAGTGACAGTTGTCCAGATTTTGTTTTAATTCTCTCTTTTTCTGAACAGGTTATTGGAGTGATCCTAGCAATATCTAGTGTTCTCAATGCTGCTTGGTCCCCAGTTCATCTGGTTTCAAGCCTGATTATACTACGGGATGCATGGTGGTTGATACCCTCCTTGTGTTAGGGGATAATGTTCAGGGGTCCCTGTTGAGCTCATGTCATATTTCAGTGCACAGGGGTAGGTCACCCTATAAGGTCTCCACTCCTTTCTTTCCAGGAGAACTTTGAGGGAAGTGTTGATAATTCTCCTTTTCATCTCTCTTACAGGGCTAGCTCAAGTTTCCATTTCATGACTTGTCCAATAAAACACGTATGCAGGTAGAAGGGACTTTATGTAGGTAAATAGGGAGGAAATAGGCATTGCAGGGTTTCTTGCACTCTGTTGCAACTCAACTGTATAGTTCCATTTTATCGGACCCAGTGATTGTAACAGTTTTTTCCTATCACTGAACAAAAATAGGGCCTAATTGTGATTTAGAGCTCAGGATGAGACTGTGGTGTTGTTGGCGGGGAGAAGAAACTGGGAGAGCTTGGATATTTCAACATTATTGGTAGGATATATCTGGCATTTGTAATACTGAGTTACAAAATGGTATTTTTACACAATCATCTGATTTTGAATGGCCAAGTAGAAAACCAAAATATTTTGGGGGTTTTGGGCCTGAGCAGGAAATATTCTATTCTGAGCACCACCTAGAAAGTGTGGGTTCTGGATTTGAAGCAGACTAGGTAGGGTAAAATAAAAATGATATCCACTACTCAGGAGTTCAGTGACTATTGTAACATATTAAACATTAGCTAAAATGATTTGTCTATATCAGGGACTACAAAGAAGATCCATTTGGAAAAACATCTGTATCAACAGCTGCCAAAAACTCTTCACACTCTAGAAAAATACATATCTGTACAGCACACACTGTGCCCATATTATAGATGTATATTCTAGCACCTGAACAAGATCCACAGCTTTCTGTAGGAGGGAAATAATACATACAGTGACATAAAACCTGATACTGTACATCAACAAAGGGTGACTGACAAACAACAAGGTCTGTCACTCTTAAATGTGATACACTCAGCAGAAGATAAGTAGCCAGCAGGGATAAGCAGCAAACACAATGCATCCAGCAATAAAGTCACAAAGATTCTAGCATCTGTACTACTAGCAGCATGTGACTTAGAGCCTGAACAGACCTTCAAGAACACCTGGTAAGAGAAACAGCACAAAAGAGTGATGGGCAAAACAATGGTCACATAGACAGAAAGCAAAAGCTATAGAAATGGAGCTCCTGTCAGATGACAAAGATCAAAAGGATGATCATTCAGAGCTACAAGTACTCTGCAGCACTCTGATTATCAGTAAGACACAAGTCAGTCATGACATGTGCCATGAGTAATAGAGATGTCAGTAATCACATCACTACATAGGTCATACTGAATTGTCCCACCCTTAGAGGTATCATAGCAACAAGTCCATCCTGAAGAAAAATGAGGTCTCTGCATCTCTGAACAGCATCCATTATGCAAAGGCAGCTGACATCACCCAGGGATCTGAAAACACTTTGCAGCTTGTGGAAGATCAACTCATGGCACAGAAAGAGAAAATTAAATCAAAATACTGTGAGACTCAACCCCCCTGGACTCCCATTAAGACCTTCCAAACAACTCCTAATTCCATCAGCACATGGTGGGGCAGCTGTGAGCTGTGACTAGAGATTGAATGCATCAAAGTGTTAGACGGGTGTAGGTTATAGCCATGTTGGTCTAAGGACATAGGCAGACAAGGTTCTTTGGCTTAGCCCGAAAGCTTGCTAAGGAAACTTTTTTCCAGCTATTTAAGTTGTCTTCAAAAGGGCTGGATAATCACCTAGCCAGGGTCGTTTGATCCCAGCATTCTTTCCTGCCCATGGCAGGAGGTCGGACTTGATGGCCTGCTTAGGTCCCTTCTGACCCTACCAGCTATGA